ACTTAATAATCACAAGAGGCCACATAACCGTTATTTACAATTTCCTGAGGCACACACCCAGCAAATCAACGATGCCTTGTTCTTCCCATTACTGAGAGGGGAAGAAAGAAAAGCTCTGTAATGAGTCTCCTAGCCCAGCTTCTCAGGACTGCAAGGATCCCAGCACTGCAGAGCTCCCATCAACCTCATCTGAGGTTGCAAGTCTCCCCCTTCCTTCGCCCCCCACCCGTCTAACATTTCAGGGGCCAGGGGGTGACTGTGAAGCGGCTGCATATCAGCTAAATAGGATATGTTCAACCTGTATGCAGGGAAGGATTTTTCCCATCCGTAACAAACTGCCGAACTCTTTCCAGAGAGACACGCTGGGAATGGAAGCCCACAGTTTGGGCATCGTCAGCCGGGCGTTTGCTGGCTCTGCCTTCAGTGCCCTCACCCACAGAGTGTGTTTTGGTCCCCAGCCTACCTTGTAAATGTTGCGACTGCGGTTGCGTGTGGGACTTCTTTTTGGAGGTGCATTTGTCTCTGCTGCTGTTCCTGGTCTCTGTAGGTTTGCTGTGAGGAGGGTCATCGTTCGTGGTCAGATACTTGAGAAGCTCTGAGCAGGGACGTCTTTGTGGCTTTTGCTGTTGACAAATGCTCTTCGCTTTATTGCTCCATGAATTCTCGGTCTTAAAAACAAGGCATAAAGAAAGCTGAAATTAGTGAGCTGAACCTTAGCAGAATGGATATAGGTTTTCGGAAGAGATGAGATTTTCAATGAAGTGTTCAGTCTAAGTGTACTGGATCTATGAGCTGTGAATAATTGTTTGCAGAACAAGGAAAGAAAATTACATTTAAAATTCCTAAATGACATTTATGCAGCTTTTTATTTCATTTCTCCTACATTTCAATGTTCTTACTCAGCAACATGTAACTAACAAGACCCTACAGCGCCTTTACTGTGAATAAAAAAAATAAAATAAGCTGGTTTAAACCTTAATTTGCCACTGATTGCTAGAGCCCAGTATTCACAATTCTCTTAAGTACCCCTTAACGCTCCGTTTTCACTCAGAGTGAATGGCAAGACAAACATTGTTTAATACAGCCCGCTAACCGAATTATGTCATTGCCGGCATTCCACCCAATTAATGGCAGAGACGGATCTTTTGCGGTGATTCCAGAGCAATCTTTCTCAGGTTAGACAGCTGGCAGAACAGCAATGCTGCACCTTAAAGTCACTTATAGTTAATATCAGCCTATGGGCAAATTAAATTGTGGCCCAGGCTGCTGCGTGTACTAGTAAGTGGGCAAGGAGTGACAGACGGCGGAGCTTCCATCCCAATTGTCCGAAGACAAAGCGTGAATGGACCTTCCCAGCGTAAAGCAGCCAGAGCGCTGCTTTCAGAAACCCGCTTCCGAGCGGGTTTCACCATCGCGGGACAGCTGCGGGAGCCCCGCCGAACGAACACCAATAAACAAGCCCGCGATTTGTTTTACGGCTTCAAGCAAGAACCCCTTCGCTCCTTTCCCTCCTGTATTAAGCATTTACTTTTGTACCTTAACGACTGCAGGGCTTGTTCTCATCCTGTGACCATGGTTTGCATGGTTCTGGGTACTGAGACCGCTGCATTCATTATAACTTAGCTGAGTGTTGGCTGGTGCCAGTAAGAGCTTCTTAAGCTGGAAACATATCAGGGAAGGGGAAAAGCAAGAAAGTGATGAGTCTTCTAAGCATAAGGATACGTTATTCAAATTTCAAACTTGAAATTAAGTCATTTTGATTGTAAAAAGTAATCCTATCACCCTTTAATTATATCATACCTTAGCATGAAGAACTTCTATGCATACATGCATAACCCATGGACAGGCAAGAGTGTGGTGAAGGCCTGGGGAGGGGGTGGGAGGAGGGTGGAGGGGGTCAATGGGAGACAAAAATGGGGACATCTTGCCCAGCCAGCATGGCCCAGCAGTTGAGCATTGACCTAGGATCCAGATCAAGGTTCAGTTTAATTCCTAGTCAGGGTACATGCCTGGGTTGCAGGCTTGATTCCCAGCAGGAGGCATGCAGGAGGCAGCTGACCAATGACTCTCTCATCACTCCCTCTCCCTTCCTCTGTAATCCTTTAAACAATAAAGATAAATTGTAAGAAAAAATTAAGAAGCTCAGCCGGGCCTGGCTCAGCAGTTGAGCATCAGCTTAGCATCCAGGAGATCGCGGTTGGATTCCCGGTCAGGGCACATGCCTGGGCTGCGGGCTCCATCCTTAATCAGGGGCGTGCAGGAGGCAGCCGATCAATGACAACTCTCTCATCATTGATGCTTCTCTCTCTCTCCTCTCCCCTCCTCTCTCTGAAATCAATAAAGATATATTTTTAAAAAATTAAGAAAAAGTTTGGCATTACTCTACCAACTCTGTAACTATTTCCTTTTCCTACGTGATACTTAGTATTGTCTACCTCAATGTTTCTTGTACATAAAATAAGGCAAAACAGATCTTCCTAAAAGGATTTTCAAATCACTACTAGGTGAGAAAAGCTGCCTTGATAAATGAGGACTTGGGGCTTGGGAGGGGATATATGGACATATTCCCATCAATCACCCAAATGAAATATATGAAAGATTCTGTGATGTTTTGAATCAATTTCACAATCAAGTGTAACACTCAAAGAATATTTGGAGTAAAAGAGTGGCCAAATTTGATGAAGATCTGTAAATAGATAGAGTAGGGAGATGTGGGTTCTGGCTCAGGCTAAGCATTTACTGTCTCTTGATCTCTGTGTCTTTATTTGACTTAAGGTCCTCCCAGGACCTCCCTGCTTGGGCACATAGTATGACTCCAAGTCAACAACACCTCCCAGGTGAGCCAATTAGGTGGATGAAATTCATCCAGTATTAATGTAAAGAAATCAGAGTCCTAGGCAGCAAAGGCAACAATACTGACAAATGGAGAAATTGGGGAATAAATAACAATCACTTATGAGAGATTTTCTTCTAGACCAGAAATCAGACACAGCAAAGGATTACATGTAGGGTCTCCACATGTTTACATGGAGTGCTTTTAACATTTAAAAATTTAGAAATGGGCAAGAAACAACCTCTAAATGACACATCAAAGCACATTATTAAAGTTGAGAGGATGGCATTCCATAATTTACATGGTGTGCTCTTACATCAGATTTATGGCAAATGACAAATGGCTACCACAGATGAGAAGGTAAAACTGTGTCTTAGAACTAATAAAATTCTGGTCAAGCACTGCACTGAAAAGGAAATTCACTCTTCATTGCCTACCATAAATTTCAGTAACTTAGGTAGCAAATGTGCTATTATTTTTCAATCTTCATAAGGATTATGGATCCAAAGCCTTAAAATATTACATACCCTTGATATACCTTCTATTTCTAGAATTGTATGCATAAGAATAAAACTACAAATATGTCAATTATTATACAATTTATGATAGTGAAAACCAGGGGAAAAAGACTAAATATCCAACCATAGGGATTGCTCAATAAATTATGACATTTCTGAATAATAAAATACTATACAACCATTAAAAATAATGTACACATTTAAAATTCACAAACATGTTGATGTTAAATCTTAACGAAAGAGGAGATTTCAATCATTTTGCATATTAGAGGTTGTTAGAAATTACAGGTGAATTTTTAGTCTGTTTCTTTTTGGTTGTCCATATTTTCTAAATTTCTATTATGAATATAAATAATACTAAGAAATAAACACAAAAAGTAGACACAAAAGATGCTTTAAAAAATGCAATAAGATCACATGAAGACTATATTATCAATATTTTTAAACACAGAATCACAGAATTTGCAACTCCAAGCGTGCCTGGGGATTGTTTTGGCATCAGTCTAAATTAAAAATCCAGACCTTATTGTTACGACATCATACCCATGCAGCGGGTAGCCAGAGGCAACTCCGATTCCTGTTAAACAGTAGGAAGGGTTCTTACTAGAGACGGCTCTTCTGCCTCCTGAGGCGGAGGGGTGCCGTCAGGCATGGAGGAGGGACTAGCCTCATTCTCAGTGGTCACATCTCCATCTGTCAGCGCGTCAAAGGAGGGCAATCCGTCTTCATCCACGGGGAGACTGTCCAGCGTCTCTGTGAGGACTGCTAGCAAGTTCGCCTCGCTCTCTTCATCTATCTTCTGCAAAAACGGAAGAAGACATGAGTGAGTTGACATTAGGAGATGGGCAACACTATTAATCCACATGCATTGGACATGTTTCGCCAAATGAATAAAAAACATGAAATTTCGAATGTCTATGCCAGAGCAGTAAGACCATGTCTTCCTTAAACTCCAAATTTGCTTTTAGTCTGAAACACACAATTTATTAATACTTCTCTCTGCTGCACCAATTTCTGATTGTTGAGCTGTCCATAATTGCTAAATAGCAATTTATGAGGTCAGTGCTTAATATGGCTGTATATAATTCTGTCTTGTTCACAGTCATTTTCCACATGTTTATGTCTTGTTTCCTTAGCTAAAAGAGATGATTTAGGTCTCAGGACTTGAGTCAATTTTAGGCATCATCTCCTTCACCTTCATATATAGTGTTTCAATCTCCTATACAGCATACCTGCCGAAATGCGTAGAACACCGTTTGAACATAGCCAGAAACTAAAACTATACCAAGAGAAACTGTACACTTTTCTAATTTCAATTATAACCTCATCCCTGAACATTCCACAGTCATTTATTTTTTTCCCTAACATCTTCCCCAACTTCAATTAAAAATCTGTAAATGCCTACTGGATATTTCTACCTGGTAACAGCTCCCTCATCTCCAAAACTCAAACTTAGGACCTCTCATGACAAAACTACTAATGTTCTTGACTTCTCATGTTTGGGTAACAATACTTCAGACCTAAACTTTGGAACTACCTGGAGTCTTCTTTTTTCATCCGTCTAGTCGCTAAGTACAGTCTTACTTTGTAATAACTCTTAAATGAATTCATTTCTTTTGGCAAAGGGTACAATTCTAGTGCAAGCTTACTTCCAGTGGGGGCTCATCCAAGTGCACTCTCACTCATTTTCCCACCAACACATCCTTGAAAAGCTAATCTTCACTTATTCGCTCCACAGATGGTTTTGAACACCCGAGCTATGTCAAGACCATGTTAGGTGTTGAAGGTAGAAGAGAAAGGAGACAAAACCCCGCCCCTCCAATACCACTCCAGTGGAAGGGAAGAACCTGTAAACAGTATATTATAAAAAGTAATATTTATTTCAGTACCTTCAAGTCCTCCCAAACTCGAGTCTATGCCCTTTGTTTATAGGGCAGTGTGCCATATCAATGCACCTGGGCAACCGGTAGCCATTGATTACTTGCTGAATAATTCACTGATCTGCATTTATTGCTTAAGATATATCTTGTGTATATCATTTTTTTTCCTTCCTTTAGCACGTCACATAGTTTGTCCAATTTGACCTGTTTCATAGGTCTTTTTCTAAAATCCTGCACGCTATGACATTAACAGCAGCTAAATTATCTCATACAGGCTCTATTATAAAATGCACCTAAGCTGCTGACATCTAATAAAGCCAGCAGGGCCCACACTTCCTTTCTCTCTAGCAGTGAACTCCAGTTAATTGACCTGACAAAATTACAAGAATCACAGAATAAGACAGCTAATCAGAAAATCAAATTGTATCACTAGAGAAATTAGGCAGGCTTTTATCATGTATACATTCTATTTTCACATAAAAATTGTTTTCTCTCATTACTGATGAGCCTCCACCCAGACTTCTTTCTCTTTTGGATTCAAGAGGCCACGAAGAGCTATTTGCTACTCATAGCGGACATTACTGAGCATTTTTCACATTTGCATAATGCCTCCCCTTAATGCCATTGGATTGGACTGGACGGGACATTGTGAGTGGAGTGACAACTGTATGAGTTTTAAGACTCTAATGCACAAGGGAAATCCTAATCAGAAGGGATGAATGCTAACTTCAAAATGGCCCCACTTCATTCCATCAACTGACCAATTCCTTGAAATCCAAATTGCTCAACTCAATAATAAAACCTTACAGAGCACCACTCTTTCCCCTTCAGTTCTTCTGGACAATGTAAATTTAATAATAAAGATCCTTAAGTATATTCCCTTGTTTGCTACCCAGGATCATAATTTGGTATCTAAAGATTCCAATCTTCTACTTTTTATATCAAATTTAGATTTCCCCACCTACAAAAAAAAACNGTTTGCTACCCAGGATCATAATTTGGTATCTAAAGATTCCAATCTTCTACGTTTTATTTCAAATTTAGATTTCCCCACATACAAAAAAAAAAACAACAAAAAAACAGGGTATTAAACAGTTCTGAATAAAAATTATAATAAAATAAAATATCTTATTTTAAATCTCCCCAAATCATGAAATTTACATTAATATAAACATCTCCTTATTATCTAATAAAGACATTCTTAAAAATGTCTCATGCACACTCACAAACACACAACTTTCAGTAAATTGGANATAAAAATTATAATAAAATAAAATATCTTATTTTAAATCTCCCCAAATCATGAAATTTACATTAATATAAACATCTCCTTATTATCTAATAAAGACATTCTTGAAAATGTCTCATGCATACTCACAAACACACATACACTTTCAGTAAATTGGATTTTTTTCCAGGTATCCCAATTTTATGAGTTTATTTCAAGTTTAAAAATAGCTCAAGAAAAAATAGCTAAGAATATTTACTAATAAATGAGTAATTTTGTTTACCTCAATTTAAATTTTGTGTTTGGCTTTCCTGCATTATTACAAGCCTCTGTTTGCTTTCAATCACATAATACAATAGCGCCTTAGTTTGATCCCTGGTGTAAACAAACTACAATAATTCCAATCAAGTCAAAATGACAAAGAGCACTTAAATTAACTAGTTTTTTTCCAATTTCATTAACAAGCTTGGGTGAACGTACACTAGATACAATGGCAGAACTATTGGAGGTTGATAATGTTATAATTAATTTACAAGGTCTGAATAAACCACCAACTATTTTAATTCTCCTCTCTACTGGAGCCACAGTGAGGGGGTGAGTGTCATGGGATTCAAGACTGGAATTGTGTGTGTGTGTGTGTGTGTGTGTGTGTGTTGGGGTATGTAGGTATGTAGGTAGAGTAGGCTGGTATTTAACTATCATGGACTAGTAGGGCTTTAATCATTACTTACAGTAAGTGTCCATTAGAAGTAATTGAAACCTTTTAATTATCATTCCTATATGTGGATGACTTAGAGAGGTGCTCCAAGACCAATTATTTTAGGAAGGTAGTTCTTGAATCAAGAAAGAAAATAATGTTATTATTTCAAATTCTCTGTTTCCTTTAACCCTAAAAGACTGGGGAGAAAAGTCTGATATTTATCAATGATATTTTTGTGTTGAAGTTCAACAGATATTCCTACATGTACCACTAAGTGTACATTCCCCCTAACCGTGGCAATTTCAATTAGTGTACCAAGAGTTTCAACAAGCAAACATCCCCTTGAAGGCAATGGATGTGACAAAAAGAAATCTGTTCAACAATTAATGTCACTTTCCATTATTGCTTTCGTCCCAATTGACAGAGCAAATATATCAAAGTTGCTACAGATGAAGCCCACTGGCCTAGTAACACATGTCTGTTCACAGGTGACAGGTCACGGAAGCACATTAGTCCCTAGAACGACATTGCAAGACAACCTTTCAAAGACTCGGCTCTGATACTGCTTTCTAGATACTGAAAGTGACTGTTCTAACAAAAATATACTTATGAGCTTCAAATAAGTTTTTATAAAGAAAAGAAAAGCAGCAAGGTGAGAAAGAGAGAGCAGATCAACAATGGGTAGTGGTGTACAGCGACACAAACCAAGCTCTGCCTTACACCTGAGAGCCGGCGGGTGGAGCAAGATGCAAACCAGGCCAATGGGCCTCTATCTCCACATTGAACTCTGTGACTATGAAGCAGCATTTCCCACAGTGGGGTTCAACCTTGGGCTCTCCTTACATAATGCTAGTCCACTGCTATTCTTCCACCTAAATAAAGATCCATGTGAAAGTAACACTCCATTCTCCAAGGGCTCTCCAAGAGTAAGGAAAGCACATTAACACAATCTCTCTCAAGGTATAAAGAATCTCCAGTGCTAGATGATACGCAGACATGCATGTGAACAACCCAGATTTAGAAAGTGCAACAATTTCCAAGCAGTGTCAGATCCTTAATAAATGAGAGTTCAGAACAGTCAACACAATCAGAGCCTTCACCACTGCTCTTTGGGACTGCTGGGTCCCTATGTGACCTGTACAAAGGGTGATATAATTCAAAAGGCACAGTCAAAGGAGGTTAATTCTGCCCCTTCAGGTGACCAGAGTCACCTCAAAATTGAAAGTTTGAATCCAGTATATAATACCGGGGCCTCTTCCTTTGTGAGCAGTTGGCAAAAGGATCTTCCAACCGGTTACCCATCCTGGGGCAGAGAGCACATTCCACTCACCCAACTGCACACAGAGAGGGGATCAATCCACTAAATTAAGGAGGAGATCAGGGACTTTGAAGTGCTAACCAACACCTGAGGGGAAACCGAGAGTGAAACCAGCATGTGGCATCCCCAAGATTTCTAAACACAGGCTATTAGGGAAGGGCCATGCCCTGCTCATGATAGTCATTTTTTTCCACCTCTTATAGAATTGCAATTACACTCTGTGTCCCTAGATTCTCACACTTGCTTGATCTCTGTTTGATAAAAATAGTTTAATAGCCATTTAATCACAGCTTCATTATCTTAGCTCTCTTAATTCGAATTAGGCCGGGAGAATTCTTGCCCCCTCATCATTCAAATCGTCAATAAGACGGAAACAGTGGGGTCTTCCTATCACTCATTAATCAGTTTCAGCATCTTAGGGACTGTTTACTCAGAGATCAATCTGTGGGAGAGGTTGCTCAACCTCTCCGAGCCTCTAATTTTAAGTTTCAGGTTATTATCTGCCTAATTCCTGTTACAGAATTTTTCTACACTCATAATTAATAGGCAGATAAAGAGTGAATAAAAGCCTGAGAATTCTTTAAGAAGGTGCTCAGTAAACTGTACATGCCTGTTACCTTGATAACTCATATTTGAATTTCATTTTTTGAGCATGATCTGCATCGACTCTTAG